CACTCCCTATACCATTGGACATGGAGGTGTTGCTAACAACGGTATCGGTCCTGCTCCGCTTCGTTCGTATTGTGTCTAGGCCCTCGTCGGCGTCTGACATGGTCTCATCGGCATCCTCGCTTCGTTTCCGTTTGTGTGTGCTCTCGTCTGTGCCTTGCGTTAGGGGGTTCGGTTGCTGCTGTAGCGCTTGTAATTTTTGTCTATGGGCTTGGCTACGAATATGCGTGTCCCATAGAGACTCGGTCTTTACAACATCGTGGCAGAGTTTGCAGAGTAGCTTCCCGACATCTGAGTAGGCCGCATGAGGATGCTTGATGCGATTCTCGGCACGGTGGGCGCGTAATAGGGCACGGGCGTCAGCCATTGTGAAGGCAATGCTGAACTATGTATACTGATAGTGATGGGAAACGGTTCTTTTAACTCTAGAGGTCAACGCCAAGATTGGTAATCGTCACTGATGGAAAGAAAAGGTTAAATGGGGCTTTTGATTTCAGAGGTTTGATGGCAAGCAGTGGTCGAGGTGAGGCTGTAGAATAGGTAGGTATTCTGTACCGTGTTGGGTAAAATAGCTGAATGAGGTCGTCCATCAGCCACACTTGGTCCCTGGATTTGGAGAAATGCCCCGCGCTTCCGGCTGAAGCTGCCCCACATAGTTAACCTTAAGTACCTCTATAGGGACCCGTTTTTGGGACATACTATTGACAACCCTGTTAGCAGTAGGTATTTTTATGCTTGTACTAAGGGCTAATCTAACAAGCTATTATACCGTACGCAAGGTTACAAGAAAACAGAATGTTATAGCAATGTTATAATAAAAGCAGAAAGATTTTTCCAGCTTCATTTTTTAGGAGTAACTTAAAAAAAAAAAAAAAAAAAAGGGGCAGTCTAGGCTCAGCGACACAATCTAGTCATGTAGTTGCTATGAAACACTATTATTGCGAGTTCCAGCGTGTCCTAAAACCGGGTTCCCCCCTATAGGCAGGTACCGCTAGAAACCTAGCGCCTACATGCACTTATACCGAGTACATCCCTACCTATTCCTTGTTGTCATTCGCATCTCCTCACCTCTACAACATCATTGTTGGACCATTGCATCTTGACCCTCCTAATCTGGATCATGGCAAGAGACAGATGACCTGAGCTTTCTGTCACAACTATATTGACGCATCTTGCGCACAAGTTTCTACGTAAAGAGGTAGGCGAACTTATATACCTGTCACGTCGATATGGAAGAGGAACAGCAACAAACAGCCTCCACATGGCCACCACCACCGCCTTTCTGGAAAGACTTCACTCCAGATAACGTCATTCGCCTCAAAGATTTGCAGAAAGAAGCGGCCGAGGGCTTAGGCGTACAAGACCCTTCGACGACCCGGCTCGACAACTTACCCCGCGAGCTGCGCAACCTACAGCCTCCGCCTGAACCTGAGGATGGAGGATGGCGCGTCTTTGGCGAAACATACAAGCTGCAAAATGAACTTCCGCAACTCGATGACGACCAGATTCGCCGGCTATTCCCCAATCCCGAAGAGCGGGACCAGGATGGCAAACACTTCGACCGCGCTACTATCCTCAAGCGATTGGCAAAGTCGCTGCTACTCAATTTCCTCGAACTCACAGGCTTGCTGGCCACGAATCCCGAAGCGGTATGTCACAAGTGAACTGATGTCCTTCTAATTTCAGGATCTTTTCGTTCTCTTCTCTTTAATACATACCTCTGACATGGAGCAAAAGGCCCACGAAAAGATTACAGACATCCGAGATCTCTTCGTCAACTTTCACCACCTCATCAACGAGTATCGTCCGCACCAGGCCCGCGAGTCCCTTATCTCGATGATGCAATCGCAGCTAGACCGGACACGGGCCGAGACGAATGCCATTCGCGACGCGAAAGACAAGGCCGAGCGCGTACTCGAAGGGCTGGGTAGCCTGACGATTGAAGATCAGGTTTATGATGCCACGCTCGAGCAGGACGACCAATACAGCCCGGAAGAGGAGGCTTGGGTTATGCTTCTAGAATAAGATGCGGGTAGGGATAAGAGTCCTTTTCAGGGTTGAGAACAGGAAACAGCAGTTTGGCAAAACATTTTCAGGCGTTAAGCGGCATACTCAATGGCTATTGGCACGGTACCCGGCGTATGGTATGGAAAACATGGATTATGATACCCTTAGATTTGCCCACGGGCGAAAATCGGACAATACATGCCTAATGCATTGGAACCTCAGCCATATGATCACAACTAAAGGACGGCCACTACCGGGGCCATCTCTAAGTTTCCTACAGTGCCGTACCCAGCCGTCAGTCAGGCTCTCCAACCCCCTTGCGATTACCTTTTAAGTACCTACAGCGTAGGTACTTTTCATCCCCAGTGGTGACTTGCTGTAGGGCGCCACGCCAGGTGAGACGAGAGGAGACGGGGTCGCGGCTGCGACGATCTTGGCGGCCGCGTCGGCGATCATCCGAGGGCCCGCCTTCCGTCGGCGCCCACCGGCGCGAGCTCCTGCGCGTGTAAACCCGCTCGCCACCCGCTCGCCATCCGCTCGCCACCCGCTATAGCGCACGAAAGTTCTCGCCCTGCCGTAGAGCGCCTATTAATAGTACGTAGAAACAGCGACCTAGTCTGCCAAGCTTATATTACGTATAAAGGCGGCGCGCGGCAGCGGCCCTTCGTCTTCGTCCTCACCCTCGTTGTTATTATCATCATCGTTGCTGTCGTTCTCGTTGTCTGTATGAACATACAGTTAGCATTGATATATAACGATAAGCATAAGAAGTCGGTAGTAACTCACCCTCTTGTTCTGCAGCGGCGGCGGGCGCGCAGCCACGCCACAGTTGCTTTTAGTGATTGCTATATCTCATGTTAGCTCTGTGCATTATTCTAGTGTAATACGGGCATATAGCATATGATCGACGACATAATAGTGCCTGAACACAGGCATCATTAGTCTCGCTATGGCAGCCCTTGTAGCCCTTGTCTCGCGCGAGACGCTATGGTCCGAATGCATGTCACACGACTGAGTGCCGGTGCGCTTGCCCGACCGTCTCGTCTATCTACGCGCAATTGGCTACTTACGCGCGACAGTGCGTCTACGTGTGTCTATCTATGTCTTGAATGGTACATGTCACTAGATGAGGACGTCAATTATTATATAGTAGTATTTGAATAATATCATTTTGCCAGAAAGTGTTGACATGCTAGTCTATTGAGAAAATGGGTAGAGCTGAAATCTTTTTCATCATTAAACATTAATATGGTGTCTTATTCTAGTATCTATTGCTAGGCTGCTTTGACAATAAAGCTTCAGTTTGATAGAGTTAGGCTAGCCGGCTGGCTACCAAATAGGAAGTAATTAGGTGTTAGGGGATTAACATGTCACAGAGTGAACAGAAGACTTCTAATAGCAGCTAGGAAGAAGGGTATGGTATAGGGCTCGATAGATATATTCATTGATTCCTTGCCCTCTGGGTCCCTAGAGGGGACCCAAACGTCCTCTATGCACCGCCAAAACCGTAGAGATAACTACCCGATAGAGTCTACCTAGGTAGTTACTTTATGTCCTAACAGTAGGTCGGTTATTACCGATTTTTCGTTTAATTCGGGCAACCAACTGCATATTTCTTGATATAGATGATAAGCTTGATAAACCATCCATCGAGCCGAGACATGTATAAAAGTGCAGGTGGACTAGTTGAGTCCTAACAATTAAATTAAATAATATCTGTGCAGTAGTACCAACACTCGATCATTCAACCGCAGTGTACCTTGAGGAACCTACCATTTAGAGGTGGCCTATCTAACTAAACATCGCCCAAGCTCATTGTTGTGCCAGCATAACAAAAGGAAACTGACCATATCATATGCTCCTGTTACACCTTCCCAAGCCAAGTTATAGACCATCATGACCAACGCAATTATGCTCATAATTTCTCCTGTCGGCAGGTGCAATCCTTATGTAACATAAGGTTAGGTAGTTACTCCGAGCACTATTTCTGATCGATTTAGGTAGCGGCGTAGTGCACCTCTTGCATTTTATTCTTACGTCTTAAAACTCTGATACGTCGCCTTGATACTTGCACCACATGTCTCCTCTCTATTCTCTCTCCTCCATTCTCCTTTCCATCTTTGCTGATATTTGGACTGGCCAAGGTGTGGCGCTCATAAACTTACTAGCATTAAATTCACTTGGTCATTTGCTTTCACTTTTCCACCTTGCTTCTCTACTATTCATCGGCACGGACGATCCCTCAAATATTTGTCATCAAACTCAACAAGTTGCCCACCTCCTAAGCCACCAAGTACTGATGTCTACCTTGGCATACTGGTATCGTCTTTCGGGGTGGCTTGCTGTAACCCGAACATTGGTATACGGGATTTTGGCCAATATGCAATGTTGGAAACGAACCTTAGAGGAATGGGAAACGACGAACCCAATATGGTACACCCTCATGGGCGATACACCTTTGGTAGACGAAACCATTCGCTTTGCAGAGTCTCAGTTGGCACTTCTTAATAAGATCGAAGCGGATCCTTACCATGAGGACGTGCACGTTAAAATCAGGAATGTTACTGAGATGCTATATTGTATGCGTACTCGAGTTGAGGAAATCAATAAACAAGTGAACGAGGCTTCTGTCGCAATTTTGAAAAGCTTACAGAAAGAGGCTGATCTCAATGCCTCGGAGTAAGAGTACAGCTGGGATGGTAGTGGGAGCTGTATTGACCACATCGACTCAGAATTGAGGAAATCGATGGCAAGCAAGGTTGTTGAGATCTGCGAGAAGGAAGGGCATCTGCGAGAGATGACTGGACTAGATATGGACTAGGGACACTATAGAGAGCTAGGAAACCTGGAGAGTCAACATAATAAACAATAACCCTTCAATAACATATACCAACCAGCCTTTTTTGAAGTGCTAGCAAATACAAACGGTAGAATGATGATCACAAAGGCAAAAGAGCAGCAAAAAGGAAACAAGAGAAAACACAGAAAATGAGTAGCTCTCGATCGGGGAATCGAACTCCGGCTACCTGCGGCTTGATTTTGAATAACTCATAACCTAATACCTACTACGATCGTGAACACTGGACAGAACACCAATGACAAGCAGGTATCCTTATCACTGGACCAATCGAGATTTTTCTTTGCTGTGATTTGATGAGAGATTTATGAGCGCATTAGACATTTTCAGGTTATGGTAAGGAGCTCATGCACAGACAAGAAATAAATGAATAAAGAATACCTAGGGAAGAGGACAAAAGTAGAGAGCTAGAATATCTATATCGTGAAAAAGGGGCATATCTGTATAATAAACACGGAAAATGCCTCTATATCTCATTTAGTTGCAAAGGAATGTTCGTGTTCTCCTATTGTCAGTACGACAAGCCCTTTATCTAAATTTTGTTCAGTTGCCATGATGATTTGAAACTGTGTAGTTCATGTTCAATTTCACTAACTATATCATATAGCTCGTCCTTCTATAGAGAGCTTCGATGAAAGTCTCCTGCTAGAAATGGTAGGGGCAAAATGAAAGAGAAGCAAGCCATATGTCAGGTGGTTTTGTCATGGAGTGGAGTTGAGGAATGAGGTTCTGAGCTTGCTTCTTGATTACCCGAGACCCCTTTTCGTCCAGCAAAGACTGAGTTATCTAAGTTATTACCCCTATCGCTTAAGACCCCTTTAGACGGCTTTATTTATAAGTCACATGGTTGCACACTCCGTGCTTACTTAATACGAATCTCGATCACTTGCCAGGCCACTTGCTAGACCCCTTACTGAACTACATAGTACCAAATCACTCACCAAAGTAGTGGTTAGATGCAAGAGTCAGCAAATTCATAGCAGAAGGTCATCTAGCAAGTAGTTCAAATAGAAAGTAATGTAATATTCTACCGCTGCACTATCGAATCGCTCACATAGCCTACAGCATGTAAAAGTTCTACAAATATACAACACATAATCTACGAAATAATTTATGTTGCGTACAATATATACCGTTAATACTGCCAGGAGTATTAACGGCGTCGTTTTTCCTCCGTCACAATTTATTATAAAATATTATATATGTCCGTTTGTGAGGATGTTTAGGAAGCCTTATATATTCGCAATCTAGTCAATACACTCATCTGGGGTCCTAGGAGATACTGAAATAGAACGTGTATAACACTCCGTGCTTTAGAAGCTAGATAGCTCAAACAGTTACCTAGAGGCTTCAGGCTAGAAAACAAGCTAGGGAATATTAAGGGACGTATGCGGCCAAAACAGTAGGTGGATTCCCTATGTAAGTAGTATGAAATTATCACACTGGCTATCTTGCTAAGAAGTCTGTTGGCTGTTGTCATATGCATACGCGCCCAAGACTCCAAGGCCTAACCTATTACTGGCATTAAACGTCGCCATCTCTATACATTCCAGAATTCCTCAATAGTCCGCCCTGGTCTTCTTCGTCCATTGGTGAGCAACCACCTCCTTGCCCCTGAGCTTCTCACGGAACAGCAGCTGCGTGAGCTCCTTGAACAGGTACGTATAAGCGCCATGGTAGCGGATCGAATGGTCCGAGTCGGTGTACGTGCGCCACTGCATCTTGGAGGGGGGCACGCCGGCGCCGACGAGCAGGTCGACGAGCGCGGCCGTGTTCTGGTAGTGCACGTTGTCGTCGCCGAGGCCGTGCATGACGGCGAAGCCGCCGGCGATGCTCTTGAAGCCCGCGGGGTCGCGCACGGCCGTGCGGGCGTAGCCCTCGGGGTTCGCCTGCGACGTCTTCATGTACCGCTCCGTGTACATGCTGTCGTAGAACCGCCAGTCGCTCACGGGCGCCACGATGAGCGCCAGCGAGAACGCCCCCGAGTCCGCCTCCACCACCTTCGCGGACAGGTACCCGCCGTACGACCACCCGAAGATCCCCACGTGGTCCGCGTCGACGAAGGCGTTGCGCGAGGCGAGCTCCCGCGCGGCCCAGATCTGGTCCGCGGCCTCGAACTCGCCGAGGTGAGACGCCACGAGCGATCGGTAGGCGCGGCCCTGGTACCCGGAGCCGCGGTTGTCGACCGTGTAGGTGATGTACTCCAGTTCGGGGTCGGAAGAGATGTATGCGTTCCAGTTGGGGGCGGCGAAGAGCTTGTCGACTTCCTGGGCGCCCGGGCCACCGTAGGGAGTGAAGAGGACGGGGTACTTCTTCTCGGGATCAAAGTTAGGGGGGAGGACTTCTTTTACGTCCATGGTGTAGCCGTCGGGATGCTCTAGTTTGAAGTATGTACTTTTTGGCAAGTTGTACGCTTGAAGTGTGTTCCAAAGCTTTTCGTTCGACGTGACGGTACGCAGCGGCGTCGTGGTGTCGTTGGCAGCGTACAACTCCTGGTAGGGTACATCGGGACCGCGGTAACTAAGGATATAATAGCCGCCACCCGAGGAGAAAGATGCACTCCAGGAGGCGGCAACCGTGTCGTCGACAAGGGCGTTCTTCTCGCCATTGGAGTAGGATACACTGTAGAGGTGTCTTTCGGTACTGTCATGTTCGGTTGAGGTGTAGTAGATCAATTCGCGCGACGTGTCAACCTTGAGAATACTCACGACTTCCCAGTTTCCACTTGTAAGCGCCTTCGAGCTTGACCCATCAGCAGCATGTAAATAGATGTGCTGCCAACCTGACTCGTCTGAAAGATCAACATAGTAGGTGGCGCTGGATCCATTGATAGGCCCGACATATTGTATAGCAATGTTATTGTCAAGCCATCCATCTGTACCATCGCGCTCTCGTACTACTTCCGTCGTAATATCGCCACCAACGTCAACGCGCACGTGTTTGGATAAGTCCTGCACACGGTTGAAAGCGGTATAAATGAAGGTATCGTGGCTGTCTGTGACCCATGCGAGCTCTCCGATAATCAAATCATCTTCGTCGAACGCGTCCAACGGAATGGCCACCTTGTCGTTACTCCCGATCGAGAGTAAAGTTAAGCTGACGGTCGGGTTCTTGGTGCCTACTTTAGGGTAGCGCAGATCGAGATTTTTAGGATAGACGGGGGCGATCTCCATGTTATTCATGAAATATGGAACGGTGAAAGTATCAACACCTGTTTCATTGAATCCAAGGTACGCGAGCTTTTGGCCATCAGGCGACCACCAGAGGGCCGAGCGACTACCAAAGATTTCCTCCTCGTACACCCAGTCAGGAACTCCGTTGAACTGGTCTGGGGAGCCATCGTTTGTGATCTGAGTTATGGTGCCGTTCAGGCTCAAGAAGAGATTGTTGTCACGCACAAATGCGATGGCACCACCAACCGGAGCGAACTCGGCGTATTGGATGTCACCAACCTGGTCGTCGACTAGCGGCGTAACGTTGCCCGAAGCAAGATCCAGGACCGAATAGTCGGCAAAATACGAGTGGCGGTACTGCTTGGTGTAATTGGTAGCAAAGAGCACCTTCGACAGGTCTGAGTGAATCCAATATTCCCACAGTCCGTCGGGAATCACGTCGGCGGAAACAAACGTAGAGGATTCCCCAGTGATGAAATTCTCGAGTATCAAGGCGCCATCGCCGGCTTTGTAGATCTTCACAGTCCGGGAATTAGCCATTGGTGTCGACGATCAAGATTAGGATAGTTTAGAAGTGTACTGAAATAGAGAAAAAGCGAATTCCGTTCAAAAGACCATTGGCAATGTTCGATTAGGCAAAGGGAGGACCAGCTAATATAGTCTTATCAAACACTCACATATTGTCCATCATCGCCGCCGGACAGCCAGCTAACGGAAATGCTGCTCGTGCCGAACGGATTATTTACAAATGTTTCATTCCACGTGAGGATCTTGGAGCCATTACCGGTAGGCTGGTGAGGCTGTCGCTGCGGCTCAATGGCAAGAGCTGAGGATTGGAGCAGAACCAGGCCCTCAATGAGCCGAGATACAGGAGTCGAGAGCCTCATGGTGAGCTATTATATGGCGAAGTAAAGCCCAGCGCCAATCCCACAAGTAAAACAGACACCCGGGGAACACATTTAAACTAGGCAGGGTAAAAGAGTTGGATCGGACCGGATATTTGTACTGCATGCACAACATTAATCTCAACACAGCTTATCCTACGCTACACTACCTACATTTTAGCCCGGATAGCTACAATATCGCCGACATGCTTGGCCAGAAGCACGCCAGACTTCTGGCAGGGAAGATTTGGAGAAGTCAACATTAAATATGCTTGGAAAACGCTATCGCCTGCTCGTCTAGGAAATCCTGGGCCTTCCCGGTCGACTTGGCATCGGTCGAGATTGGAATGTCGATGTTGAGCATGGCGAAATTGTGCTCTTGGCAAATAATACCAAGATTAAGATCAAGATCGTGTTCATGAGCACATATCAGCTAGTCACTATTACTCTACTTAGTGTAGATATATCTACAATAATAAAGAATTGTCATGCGATAAGAGGAGTGTAAAATAAAAATAAGAATGAAATATTGAGCTGATCTCTTGGTTGGAATAAGGGGCTTATCTAATTACGCATAGTGACAGAGAGTTGATGCCAAGCACCTAACCTTTGTAGGCTACCTACAATACCTATGAGCTTATGATCTTGATAGACTTAATATGAACAACTAAGTTAGGTTGGAGATACCTATAATAGAATTTATATATTAACTAAATGCTAATTAATTAATAACCTTAGTTTATTGTTTACTTGGCTATCATTACTTTAACTAAAGTAGGTACCTAGATATCTAGATTACCTACCTACCACCTACCTAGTATCTATAGATGCATTGCAGTGCGCTTACTTGCCTGCTATACTTACAGTAGGTAGTGGTAGTATTTTAGTCTCACATGAAATCATGTCAATATGTTTGATATGTTTTGGGGATGACAATACATACAGAATACATAATATATGTATCATCTCCTTGCAACTGCTTTCTTTCTATGACACTTTTTCTCTTTTATACGGTACGTACCGTACATACCTACCTAGGTACCTAGGGTACCTTGTATGTGAACGGGTATCGTGGGCTAGCGTCGGAGTAACCCCGCGATGATCTCCAACTTCCCCAAGACGTGACGGAATTTAGGGGTCTGTCTCTTCGGCTTAGGCTCCTCCTTAGTGAACCTACAGTAGCCGTTGCTTGCCCGTGCTATTCCTGTGTCTCGAGAAT